ATTAAAAAAAAAAATTACTTATGACTCCAATATCTTGTAGGGTTTCAAGCAGTAATTGATGACTCATCGTATCGAAGGCCTTGGAAAGGTCCACGAAAACACATAAGCATTATTTACTTTCCTCCATGGACTCAGATACCATTTGGATTAATTTCAGTATAGCATCTTCAGTTGATTTTTGTTGCCTTTCAGTGAAAGACGGAGAAGAGCGGTTAATGTCGTAGGTTTACTTTGCAACTCACTGCCCTGAGATGCTTCGTTTATCTTTGGTATTCGTGGATTGATTTTTCTGTTGATCCCATAGTTAGCGTCTTCATTAGGAATAATATCATCACCTCTACAAACTCAGGCTCCTATTCTTTGAGGACTATGGGTCCGGCAATGCAGTCGTGGTTCAATCTAACACCACTGATGTGATCTTGGCGGGTCTGGTATTGAATGCTTCATGTTTGGGTTCTGGTTTCAAAGTCGACTTGCAGTGATAGACGGAAAACAAATCTCGTTCAGTGGTTGATGGCTTTGCAACGGACCGACTTGGAAACATCGTTTATTTTTAATATTCAAGCATCGTCTTCTGTCGATCCTATAGATGGCTTCTTTGCGAGGAAATATGTCATCACCTTTACTAACTCAGGCTTGTCCTTCAGTGACAGCCGAGTCCAGCAATGCATTCGTGGTTCTTTGTAACTCTACTGATGAGACCTGAGTGGGTCGAAACAGCCCTGTATGATGTATTACAAATGCTTTGTTATGGTTTAAATTCATCGTCTCAACTCACTCAGGCTTGTACCTTAAAGACAGTAGAGTCTAGCAATGCATTTTTGCTTTAGCCTATCATCAATGATCTCAGATTGCAACAGCATTGTATGGTGTTAGATCATGAATGCCTTGTTTTGGGAATTTGGCTTAAAATAATGCATTCGTGGGTCAGTCTAGCATAACTGATGATATCTTGGCGGGTCGAAACGGCGCTGCCTAATGTTGGATCGAGGATACTTTGTTTTTGGATCTGGTTTTGATCATTCTTACAAAAATTATATGAAAATTGATGCACATTGTGAAACAGTATAAAATATATTTAAACAAAACATACAATAATTGCACATATGGATACGTTAGAAGATATAAAGTTACAAAAATTGTGTTAAAAATGTAATGTTATTTCTATAAGGAATGTGGAGATGATATATTTTCCAAATATTCATCAATTAGTACACATTTTCCAAAATTATTATTTTAAATTTCAAATTGGACTAGTTGAATTTTATTTCCCATATTCATCTGGAACATATTGGAACATACACAAATTAAAGTACACGAAAATGGAAGAATAATAAACGAGACACAATACTGATAAAAGATAACTTTTCAAATCCTATGGAAAATTTACATATATTAACTTTTGCTTAGCCCTTGGTAATAACCGGCGAGAATCTCCCAAGCTTTCGGTGCCATGAATCCACGTGGTGGATTATCTCCATTCCTAGCAAGTGTCCTCATTTTTGTTCCAGATATAAATTCGAAATCATCTTTTCTAGTTGGGTCAAAAAAATCCATTTTATTATTTCTCTTGTCGTAAGCAGCAACCCTGAATGGGATTATTTCCAAAGATTTCAGCCCTGGTGCCATTTTTAATACTCTACCCCCATGAACAGGGTCGTACAAGTTACCATCTGGCGTAGCTTCCTTGCCAGAAGGATGAGCGATCCCCGCTGGGTCTCTTCCAACTATGTAGAAGTTAGCGCCAGCATTCATTCTAGCCTTGGCATGCCACTGAACTTCAGTGGGGCCTGCATACATCATCGGACTGGGAAATATAGCAAGAACAGTGGAGGAACGATCAAGCAGACCTTCATCTAGGACAGCTTGATGTTGCAGAATTCTTATAGGTAAAGGAACATCATCATCTTTGATCCAGCCACCTACAAAGTAAAATATAGTTTATGCATCGAATATTCAATGGATCTAATAACAAGTTACTATGAAAGAAATATGTAGGTACATGTACCTTGCAATTTTTTTGTACAACACTGCTTTCAGACGATCTTTCATAGCTACCAGATTGAAATTTTTGATGCAGAATATGAAGATTTAGGATTAAAAAAGAATATTCATCAGTAACAATGATTCTCTTTTTTTTAATTGCTTTCCATGATACCAAAAGAAATTTGCATATGAAAAGTGAAAGGAGAGATTCAATTTTGGGAAAAAAGCTCTTTGGCTTTTAACTTCTCCATCTTTGTAGATTGGTATATGTTTGAACCAATTTCTATGCTGATTCAGACACTTGCAGAATATGAATTTCAAAATCAGATGCTTTTTTGCATTAAACTGTTGACCTTCTGGTTAACTTTCCACACTTAAAAGCAAAATCAAATCATTGGATGCCAAATTAGGTAAATATGACACTCACAACCAAAATAACATCGACTTAGACTTGAAAATGTTTGTCGTTTAAAATAATAATCTATTATTAGTATAAGTAATGCCTGAACTACAAAAGTTACCTTTTGGTAATTGAAATTCGACCGAATTCTAGTAGAATTGTAGTCTTTCCATATAAATTACAAACACATTTGCTGACAACCTAAATTAAAAATTTGGAAAATTCTCGTTACAGTGATATGATAATAAAAACTACACTTGAACAAATTCAACTAGAATATTCATCATGAATCATCAATTCAGTTTCTTTACAGCTATAAAGATTAAATGATGCTGATGAACATTTGCTTATTGAACCATTCTTATTTACTGAAAAAAATATAATTATTACCTAATGGGTGAAGAAGCAATACAGGTTTCTTATATCCCCTCTCTTGCAATTGCCTCTTCGTATCAGTCATCAAGAGTGCATGTCCATTGTGTATTGGATTTCTGAGTTGAAAGGCAAACACAGCGTCAGCTCCTATATTTTTGAACTTTTCTTTCAATTCATTAGGTGTTAGTCTGTAACTGTCTAGACCATCATTCCAAAACACTCTCTGCAATACCTCAAGTTCACCTATAAAATGAAAAAAACACGAGTTCAGTAGGGATTTCAAAATCATAATTGTTCAATGCAAGTGAGCATAACATACTCGATATTACGAGTATGTTTAATTAGCAATACACTGGGTTACTGATTGATTTGGCCGTTACTTGATGAAGATCCTTAGTAATTTCATAAACTACACCTTACTATTTGATCTTCACAAACTTTATTTTCCAAGATATCATAACATGTTTTGCTATCACAGTAGATTTTTCGTAGTGAATAACATACTGTATGTTATTGTATGTTGAATGTATGTCAGCCACTACGAAAAAGCTACTGTGATAGCGAAACATGTCACGATATATTTTTTGAAAATACAGTTTGTGAAGATCAAATGGTAAGGTTTAGTTTAGGAAAACACTAGGTCAGTTATTATGAATAAATTGATCATTTTCATGAAAAAATAATTGTACATATTTCAGTCAGTTTTTTTTCATGATTGGCAACACCAATATTTTACATATAATATTAAAAATGAAACATGCAATTACTGTGATTTCATCACGTTTAATACAATGATAATAGAAATTTGCCACAAATCAATGCATTTATTGTTTCGAATTGAAGTATGCATTGTTATAGGATGAACAATATCAACTTTACGAGCACTAAATATAGATTTTATATGACCAAAATACTAAAAAGTTTATTCAACGTAGTACAATTTAAAGTGTTTCAATTACAATTCTAATTACACGTTTTCTTCTCAATATTATGTCAAATATCAGTGTTGCCAATCTTGAAATGCCTGAAACACGTACAACTATTTTTATATCAAAATGGTTATTGAAAAATGGTTTGATCTACAACTTTCAGGCGTTATTGAAATGAGATAGTGTTGCAGACTTATGGATGGTGAAAGATTTTGATCATTTTGTTGATATTTTGAACAAATAAAAAAAGATTTAGAGAGAGTGCCACTGAGATAGAACTAGTTTTCTTCTGTAAATTTTGAGGAAAAAAACAGCAATGCTGTGGACATTCTTACATTATGGATGCTTCAATATGATTTTATGCAGTCCGTGACCTATCTAACTAAATATCTACCTATCTCTATTAATCTGTGATCATATAACTTAATGTGTTATTTGGTATTGATACTTTTGAATTGTTTTTTCCATTTTGGATAAAGTCTAGGGGAGAGTATCCAGTTCTTTCGAACATAGCCTTGAAAGAGCTGATGAAAGCTTGGGAAACGCTGAACTAATGTATACTCACCACCTACTAGCCAGTCTCCTGATTCATAAATCATCTTGATGTGAGGGTGATCTTTGTTGGTAGTTCCAAACTGTCTTGCTACCCTTTCCTCCTTCCTATGGAAGTAGAACTCAGGTTTTCGGAGAATTGCATAGCAACTATCATTGTAATAAAGAGATATAGCGGAGGCATCTCGCACCTGTTCCATTTGTACAGTAGTGATGGGAAGGACAATCGGAATACTCTGACTTACAGCATCTCCTTCTGTTTGGAGGCAGTTGAAGTGTAAAGTTTGGAGAAACTGATCTTCCCGCATGAAGCCCTTCAGGGGATAAGCCCATCCCTCACTGAGAATCTTTGGAAATAAACATAAGAGTTAATTGAAAAAATATATGTTGATCATTTGCCTCTATCTCCGATTTTCCTAAAGTTATTGCAAATTCGAAATTTCCCAAAAGTGTAGGACTTTAATTTCGTTCTGCCAGTTCAAAGGTAAAGCTAGCAAAACCTACTGATGTAAAAAACACAACAAATGGAAAATCGGAGATAGAGGGGAATAGGAGATTACAATTTTCAATATATTACTTCTCCCACAAACGAAAAATGTTTTCAAAAAATCAATTCAGCTTTCACTACATGTGTTTGAGGTAGTTACTCAAATATTTAATTTAAAATATGAGCAAACCATTGTTGAATGTGATAATGAAGGTGGCTGAAATTAATACAAATTCAAGGTATCCAAAAAGTGAAGGATTTTAATTCGGTTCTGTCAACTTCAACAGTAAAGCTGGCAGGACCCACTGGTTTTTTAAAGAAAAATTCAGAAAATCGGCGATAGGGAGAAATAGGAGCCTAAAATTCTCAATATATTTTTATCTCTCAAAAAATTAATTTCGCTTCTACCATGTGTGCTTGAAGTAATCATCCAAATATTCAATTCAAACGAGCGAGCTAAAAATCTTAAAAAGTGAAAGATATTGACTTGATTCAGGCAGTCTCCCTACTTCATTTATTACCTCTGCATATTCAAAATTAGAAAAAAAGAATGATGAATTTCTCTCAGTTGGTTCTAAGCATTGTATTGACCAATAATCATATCCCATTCGAAAAATCATAACAGTTATTAATATTTGTCGAGTAAATGAAGCAACTCACTCGACATATGTTCTCTACAGCTCTCATTGTATTTTAAATTTGCCAACATATGTATAGCTCTTTTTTTGCATTACAAAAACACTGGCAAAATCAAAAACTTGACCAGAGTGTACTATTGAATACTTTAGATGGCTATGAACTGTTGTAAAATGTCTGGGTTGAAAATGAACTAAGCAAGATATTTTTAAGGATATAATCTGTTCTGAAAAGTTTCGTTCAAGTGTATACAACCAGTTAGTTATCTTCCAAGAGAGTCATTTACTGAGAGTACATTCTATGTGATTTTGCTTAGCTTACACCTTATTTTTTTTATAATTCAGACAAATTTAAACCAGGAATGATTCTGTTTTGTAGTGAATAATTTCTTGACACTTTGTCATTGAATTGAGCAATCTATTTGTTATATATCGAATTTACAAAGGCCGCTGAAAAATATCTGTTTGAATTCGCCAATTTGCCTAATACACTATGATACAGAAAATATATTGTTTTTTGTTACATAAGTTTTATTGTGTATGTGTGTATATAAGTGTTTCAAAAGGGAAAGAGCAACAGGTTTTGTCATTATTTAAAGTAACATTATTTGCTTCATGTAATGATTTCAATGATATGGAAACCCACTGATTTATGCAGACGTCATGAGTTAGAATTTTGATGTCTCATTGTTGATATAAAATAATGATAAAAGTCAAGAAAAAGCTGCATTACATCACATCTCAATTTAGTAGAATTCAGACTTATAACTCTTATTTGTTTCCAAGATTATGTATGATTTAGGATATCTGCCTTCAAGATTATATTTTCAAATATTCCATTCAGAAATTTCAATTTATGGCCACGTTATAATTATCTTTTATGAAAATTTAAATTATATAATCAAGGATTTACTTCATTTAAATTGTTTTTGTCCTACCAGATCTCTGAGGAATATAATAATCTGCAAAACGAATTCAAGGAACTACTTGGAAGGAAGTACATTAAGAACACTAATATTTGAAATGAAATTGGACACATTAATATCTTCTACTATCCTACCTGGAAGAGTTTATCAAATTTGTTAGGTTAGGTTCAAAGTGAGTGGATCTATTCGACCCTCCACCGCAACTTGGGAGGCGAGAGAAAAACCCTGTCAAATACTGAAAATCTGATTTGGCTTGTAGAGGAACAGGAATATTGGCGATGCCAATGAATGATAATACACTTTATTTAAAAAAATGTCCTTCATTTAACGGAGATTCGTGAAACCACAGAAAAAACATATTCTTGGATCACACTGTCACAATTTTAGGCTCATTTGAGGCTTCTATTGCCCCCTATTGCCGATTTTGTGAGCATTGTTTTTTTAATTCGCGAGTTTTGCTAGCTTTACTGTTGAGCTGGTAGAACCGAATGGAAATCCTCCACTTTTTGGAAAATTTGAACTTGCAATAATTTGAGGCTCATTTAAGGCACCTTTATTGACATTAATATTTTTTGCTCCTAGTTCGAATTGAATATTTGGGTGGATACCTCTGACACACATGAAAGTCGGATGGGAAAAGGAGCCTAAATGTATCAATATTTTTTTTATCTCTCCTACATTTAAAGAATATTTTCACACAATTATTTCCCTATGTGTGTCTCAGGTTTTTGATTAGATGCAATGATTTTAAAATAAAACAACTCTTGGAAAGGCGACGTTATGGGGAAAATTTTCTATATATTCCTCTCTCCCACACTCAAAAAATCATTTCAACAAAATTATTTCCGCCTCTACCACGTATGTTGAGGTAGCCCCCTAAATATTCTTTTCAATGGAGGACCAAACATTTGAACAATAGCTTTATGAAAGAATTAATGCATGATTGAAATTTCCAAAAAGTGAAGGAATTCGATTTAGTTTTAGCATCTTAACGCTAAAGCTAGTAGAACCCACTGGTTTGAAAGAAACTACAAATGAAGAGTTCACGAAAAGGGGGTTATAGGAGCCTAAAAGGCTCAATTAATCTCTCTCACCAACAGTTGAAGAATATTTTTTCGGATTTTATTGCATGCGCTGAGGTAATCACCCAAATATTTAATTCAAATGAGGGTCAAAAAACGTTTAATATCGTAATAGAGGAGTTTAAAATGAGCTTAAAATTACTGCAGGTTCAAATTTTTCAAAAAGTGAAGGATTTCCATTTGGTTCTGCCCTTTTAACGGTAAAGCTGGCAGAACCTACAGAATAAAAAAACAAAGCATAGAAAATCGATGGCAGAGGGCAAAAGGAGCCTAAAATCATGACGTAGTCTGATTCAAGAAAATGATTTTTTGTCCATTAAATTATGAGCAGAAAATTCTGGTTAAGAAGGTGAAGAAATACCACCCTGATTGATATGGTATATTAGAGTCTGTGGCAGTATAATGGTCTGAAAATGGAAAAATAATCGCACTATTGTGGAGCCCCATTAGGTGCGGGGCATGAAACGGTTGCTCCACTCGCCACACCCAAAGGTCACCTCTATAGTCACCATTATATTGCATGCCGATTTGTTGTTTCCCTATTAATAAGCTCTATTTGGGTTATTGATAGTTCACTACCAATTTGGACATTGCAAGGTGGGGGCCAATCAGATGGAGCTGACACTACTTCAATATTGTAGACAGCCTCATGCTCAGATAAAAGCTGGGGAAAAATGAACTTAGATACCAAGCAGCTTGAATGTTGTCTGTTATTATATATCTGGAAGGATGCCCTTCATAGAGAACTTTATTCCAGTGGCCATGTGCCAACTCTACTGTGTAGAATAGTTGAGAGAGTTAAATACCACAAATTCCAATTGAAATGTTAGTTCTGTTAGTAAATACTTGTAGTTCATTTTGTTGTGTCCTAGAGTGTTAGTTCCCAAGTTAAATGTTATATATTTAACTTTAAGCCAGACCAGGATTGGCATTGTCATTAATAGAAAATTGTTAGCTGGGGTTACATGCATATTTATATACATACCTGCAACCACTGTAAGTCTAGAACAGTAAGCTGCAACTTTGGTAATGAAAGTGATTCCTCTCTAGCACTGGCAAGCATATGTTTAGGCACAAAAAGCTCTGGAACACAATCTTTATCTTCCTGAACAAAGGGTATCACCCCATTTTCTCGTAACATTTCCACCACCTGCATAGTTGACTCTTCAACAGTGAAATCAATAGTTTTCACTACCAACTCCGGATGTTCTGGAATCTCATAAGGTTGGTCAATACCAGTAAATCCTTTAATAACTCCATTCCGAGCTTTCTGATACAACCCTTTTGTGTCTCTATGTTCACAAACTTCCAATGGAGTATCCACAAATACTTCAAAAAACATGAGATCACTCTCTCTGTGGATGCGTCTTGCTACTTCCCTATCTTCAGCATTGGGAGAGATGAAACTGCATAAGCAGATTTGACCTGCATCAGCAAATAATTTCGCTACTTCAGCCACTCTTCGAATATTTTCTTCTCGATCTTGCTTAGAGAATCCTAGATCTTTGTTCAGACCTGTTCGCAAATTGTCTCCATCTAGGCCATATGCTGGTATACCATGTGATACCAAATAGGCCTCTAATTCAAATGCAATGGAAGTTTTTCCTGCACCAGACAGTCCAGTAAACCACACTGTGCATCCTCTAAATCCTCTTAGATGTCCAAGAATTTGCCCTCGTTTTGCTCTAGATACATGATGTTTTTGTTCAGTGACATTTGTAGCAACTTGCATGCACGTTTTCTGTTTTTTGTAAATATCTTGTGTGCTTGTCATCTTCGCGAATGCTTAAATTCAAGTGACTGCTAAAATAATAACTGATTACTTTCACAGATAAGTAGGTCGGTTAAAGCCTGTTCAAACATTAAACTTGTTGCGGCATTTCTGAGTGTAGCTTACACTGTCACAGAAGTACAATTTAGATAAAAGAGAAAGCTCAAGGAGTGTATTTACCTAAGGTAGTTCCAAACAAGAGTCCTTGTAATTTTTATGTGTTCTGGTCTGATTTGATAAAACACTCATCACAACGGCATCTCATCTTTCATTGCTTGCGCATCCAGCAGCTTCCTGCGTTTAAAACCGCCTATGTGGTAAACGGTAATCGCTAGTTGCTCAATCCAGCCGCTGGGGCTGGATAAAATAATTTTTTTTTTTCACTTCTCTGAATGATTAGGTGTATAATCTGACAGTTGACAGAAGAGAAGTCTAAACTTGACTGCCAGCATTTAACTGCTGGAGTTGCCGATGAAACCCGATTGAGCAGTGGCGTATATAGGCTCCTCTGTTAGAGAAAACAGCCTACTATTATTTCTTTTCAAAATTATTTGAAGTGTAGTATGTTTATTATGTTCGTAACTAGAATGGAGAATTAATATTGTGAGAGTAATACAAAAAATGATTTACTGAGAGAAAGGTAAAAAACTATTCCACAAGATATTATACTGATGAAACCAATATTTTTCCATTCCTCTTTATTTATTCTACCAACAATTTCCTCGATCTTTTATTTGCAAATATGATATTTTTCAAGTATTTTGCATGATACTCTCAACTTGAAATATTAGTTTTTTGTTAGAAATCGAAATTAATTGGTGAAATAGTTAAAAAACATATTTTCTTTCGGCCCTGAATTTTTCCAGAGGATTGGGCAAATTGTCCATAGAATAAATGAAATGGAGTGGAAAAAATACTTATTTCAACAGGCGTATATCTTGTGGAATAGTTTTCCAGTGTTTTTTTTTCTCAATGAATGATTCTTTGTTTCATGCATTATTCGCAAGTAATTATTCTCCATTTAACATAATAAACATCCTACACTCCATTTAGAAATAATAGTAGCCTATGTTTACTGTAACACAGGAGAAGACTTTGTACGCCACTGTTCGGGTTTCATCGGTATCTCTAGCGACCAACAACCAACAACCAGAGCTGGCAGCCGAGTTCAAATCGCGAGTTGACAGTTGTAATTTTGTTTATATAAATCTCTATCCAAAAAAATTTGTAAAACTGACATATTGTTAGGAAATAATATAAAAAAATCACAATCAACAATAAATATTGCTTTGTAAAATGGGTTAAGTATATATTTCATTCATTTTTATAAATATGATATAACAAATCCAAAAAAATTTGTAAAACTGACATATTGTTAGGAAATAATATAAAAAAATCACAATCAACAATAAATATTGCTTTGTAAAATGGGTTAAGTAAATATTTCATTCATTTTTATAAATATGATATAACATTTGGTTCAAAAAGCGCTTGTACGCCAAGGAAATTAGAATTTTCCTAAGATGGCTCAATTTTTATTCAGCAGTATTTAGTAATTCACTACAATCGCTTCGTTTTAACGCCCGTAGAACTCTGAGCTCGGGGCCTGACCTGACCAGTGTTCATATAAATGTATTGAGCGGGGAGAAATTACCGTTTATTGCCGTATCAACGAAAGAAATTTAACATATGATTACCGACAAAATTGAAATGTTGATTATGTCACTGAGAGACTCCTACGACGTCTGTTAAAATGAATAGTTTGTTCATCAAATACCCCAGTCAGGAAAGGGTACACAAGGCCAGAACGGCATAGAGGCTATTGACCTTTATGTCGCCACCAAAATACCTTAAGTTATGAATCATTTGTCCTCCTGACGAATCTCAGTTGAAAGGGCAAGGGAAAAAATTTCCAACCTGATGAAAATGAAGATGATTATGACTGAGAGACTTACTCAAACAGCTAACAACTGATTGGAATACCCTATTAAACATAGGTTATATTTATTGCTTTGGATTTTTCTGTTTTGAATTTATTGAATTGTGAGAGTAATGGGATTTAATGCAATTTTTATGGACATGAGCAACTGATGAATAGGTAAAATGAATTACCTTCATTCACAGGAAGCACAAGAAACCACAATACAATATGAAAATATCTGACATGACTTTGTTTTACCATCTGGCTTAATTTCAATATGTCCGGTAGATGTCTAACCTGGAAGATGAACCTATCAAATAGATGGCACGGCACTTGAAGATGACGAAATGAACTAATTGGGTCATCATTATTCAAAATTTTGCAATTTTTGCGGAATAGACTAAAAATATTTGTGACCGATATTTTTAATGAGAAAAATTTCCAACTCCCCACCCTTCGAGTATGAAAAAAATTCAATGTGACCCTCCACCCTTTGAGTATGAACAAATCTTAATGAACGAATTGTTTTTTTTAGATAATTGGATTTACAGCCAGTCTTCAAGTATGTCCCTTACTATATGTGTAATTCAATGTTTATATGGAAGTGCCTGTTTCGATTGTGTCTGAAAGTTACTTCTTTGCATATCAACACATCTTTGTGAAGAGTTTATTTTGAAATTAATTGCTTCCTTCCCATTTTAGGAAGATTCCCAAATTTTTTTGAATAAAGATGGAGAAGTAGGAAGCTAAAACTTTTCCTAAAAATTATTCTCTCCTGAAAATATACCTCATTGAATTCTCCATTACATTTTTTATATTTTTCAGAGTGTGAAAGATACATGAAAAACTCCAATTTCTTCCACAATATAATGACTTCCGTTCAAATTCGTTTCTTTCAATTCCTATTTTCTGCCCATTGCCTGATATTTGTGAATATTTATTCAAGTGTTTTTTCTTATAATATTCTCTGTATTTGTTACAGAAGAACCGATAAGACAAGTGTCTTACGGCGAAACATCAGATGTCTAGCAGTGAGGATGACAGTGTTCCATGTAAGTGAAATTTGATCTCTTTCATTCATTATATTGTGTAGGAATGCTGTGAATAATATCTGATTCGATTCCATCACGAATGTTTGTTCGTATAATTCAGCGTTCATATGAAAGTATTTGTTTCAAAAGTATTTTTCTTTCATGTAATTCAATGTTTATATGAAAATATCTGTTTCCAGAGGGCTTTCTCTTCCACTTTGTGTCTGAAAGTAACTTTTTTGCATGATCTACATATCTTTGTTTAGAGTTTTTTAATAAACTGCTTCCTTCCTTTCTTTGAAGGATTTTCAAATGTTTTGTATCAAGATGGAGAAGTAGGAGGACGAAAACTTTCTTTCCCAATAATAAATCTCTCCTAAAAATATACCCTTTAAATTTAAACAAAATTCCATTGGTTGGGATTTAATCAAATGAGCGAATGAATGTAGGTACTGTCATCGATGATATGAGTGGATTCAACCCACGCCACGCCCTGACAAAAAGTCGTAATTTCATGAACAAATTGAGTGTTTTTTCTTATAATGCAGGGGTCGAACCAATTGAAGGTCTTGAATTTTCGGAAATTACTTAACGCGAACCTGGATATGCGGAATTTTCGGACAGCAGCGGCTCAGGCCGTGTACTAGTATGCGTACGCAGATAGTGAGAAAATACAGTCCTCTTAGGACATTTTTCCATAAGCTAAACACAGAGATTTAGCTGTGATTCCTCTCAACTTATAGAAAAAGCAAAATTGCGGAGAGGACTGTAATTCCTCACTATCTACGTACCAGTAGGTACGGGTTCTCAGTGTTGGAGATCTAGATTTTTTAAATGACAGATTTCTATGTAATGTAAAACAACATTATAACTGTTTTAAATTCACTAGTATTTGAAAAATTAATCAGTGAAATCCCCACAAGACTTTGTGGTATTTCCCCAAAAAATAATCAATTTCCCGAATACTTACTAGTGCAACAGTTGTATTGGTCACAAATAATGTTTCAGTTCAAATTCAATTTTGGATTTCAACAATCCGGATCTCCTATATTCTGGGGTAAGGGTTTGTAGGATTTAGGCAAAGTCGCAATGTGCAACATATGGGAATTTATCAATGTTGCACATTGATACTGGCCTGAAACCCACAAACTCTAAATACAGAGTGCAGTCGGCTTCTGTTGCATGTATGGGCAATAAAAAAAATTACAACGGCATTATTTGAAGACTTACAATATTTGTAATAAGGTAAAGTATAGTGAAGGAGATTACACTTTCTTGAAGAATTTTGTTATTATTTGCGACTGTTTGGTTCTAACTTGGTTTTCGACTGTATCAAGCTATTTGGCTTGCCTTTGTCGCCATTTCCAGCAAGGTGGCGGCTATAGCAACCTCAGTTGGGTCTTGTGTTTTTAATGCCTTTTTAGTTTATTTTTGCTTCCTCAAATAATTTGTCTTCTATCTTCCTTTTTGCAGCTTGGTTCTTCTTCAATTCCTTTATTTCTTCCTCTCCAGTCTTCAAACCACTCGTCTTAGTAGCGATTTCCAATTTCGCCGTTTCCGCTACTGTTTTCCTCAGAAAACTTTCTTCGCTTTGCTGTTTTTTCTACTTTCTTCTTTTTTTCCTCTTCGAGGTGTGATTTGAAGGAGTTACATGCATGTCGCGCCAAATTAGCCAATTCCTTACAACTTGGCATTAGCTCCGCTTTTCACTGTCATGGCAGCGTCTAGGGCTCGCTCACACATTGATTTTGTCATCTGTTAGGCATTTATCAGAAGCTGAAAACCCTCTTTCTACTTCGGCATTTCCATGGGACAAAGAAAGAACAGCTTTAACGACCTTAGTGACATTAGGGAATCTTAACTCTCCAGTGTCCGTTTTTAGGGGAAGAAATTGACGCCAATAGTCTTCGATTCTTGAGTTAGTTTTGTCCAACCGCACAGCGTCTTTTTCTAGTTGTAACAATCGCCATTCATCTTGCACACGTCCGACATCAACTTCTAACGGCAACGCACGAGCTAGTGTTGCGATTCGACCCACGCTGATTTATTTCGCTGTTCTGACTGAAGTCATCGACATGAGTGAAGGAAATTATTGCTCATGGAACTTTTTTTGATTATATGGGCACAAGCTGCTATGATGTGCTCTTGGGCTTTTGTTAGGAAACTCTGCCGAACATCCTCTTCTAATGTATACATTTCACTCATCACATCATCGTTTAAAATGTATTTATTTGCTGGAAGTAGATGGGTAGGCAATAATATATCATTGCAGACGTCAACATTCTTAATCGATTCTGGCTTACATTATTGCAGTAAGTAAAGACGCTAGACGATGAAGCTCATCGTATATGATATGAATCATAGGTCTGAGTCTGGAGGCCTGAAATGCTCCAGTAAAGGCTGTAAAGTTTCTTGCACTAGAGTCACGATATTTGGCGTGAAATATAAAACTATTATTCCAGGCCATTCAACAAACATACCCAGTTGATAAATTATTATTGGTAATGTTATGAAATGTAATAAGCACATGGTAAAAATTTACGCCGAGTAGATTTTCGGAATTTTCGGATGATGTAAAAAATATATGGTAATTTCGGACGTTTTCCGAAATATCGGAGTTTTCCGAAAATTTCGGATCCGGTTCGACCCCTGTATAAAGTCATCCCTATTTGCTACTGAAGAGCTGATAAGACAAGTGTCTAACGGCGAACATCGGATGTCTAGTAGTGAGGATGACAGTGTTCTGTAAAAGTGAAATTTAACTTTTTTTATTAATTATATTGTGTAAGAATCTTGTGAATGATTTCTGATTCGATTCCATTACGAATATTTGGAATACAAACGGAGTAGAGAAAAGTGTCTTTCGTATAATTCAATGTTTATGAGGAAATAGCGGTTTCGAGAGGTCTTTTTCTTTCAGTTTGTGTCTGAAAGGTACTTCTTTGCATGATCTACGCATCTTTGTATAGAGTTAATTTTTGAAATTGATTGCTTCTTTCCTTTCTTTGGAAAATTTTCAAATTTTTTGTATCAAGCTGGAGAAGTAAAAGGCCAAAAACTTTCTTTGTCAAATAACATTCATTGTTCATTCAGGTACCTAACTCGCAACTAGAGTTAACTATTAATGATGTATCCAGTTAATTTAATATTTTCAGTTTTAGGGGAAAGGTGTACGAGATGATCCATTGAGTATAGATGATTCTTTTATATTGCAACGAAATTAATAGTGCCATCTAGTTGTGTTTATTGATAAAATATAGTCTTCGATATTACCTCGCCACAGTCAATCGTAATGGCGTCTTGAGAGACAGTTAAATATTTTGAGGAAGAAAACAAAAATTATGTGACTTTAAGCTAAGGCAAGGTTGACTTTAAGATTATGTTTAATGTATTCTAACGTACTTTAGTGTCGTGGCTGATGTATTAGTTAGCATTGTATATTACCCTATTTTGATTTTTTAACAACATGGAAACAGTTGAAACCACATAGGTTATGTTATCGATCATTGAATAAAAAAAGGTTGTGTTGGGGAAAGATATTCATGTTACGATTCGTGTGGATCATCTTGTACAACCCGTCAACATACCTAATCATATCTAGTATTACAGGAACATTTGTTAACCATTTGTGTTATTATGTATTTTTACTAATAAATATGTCTTGATTATTAGGAATTGCCTGCATTATTACCTAAATAGGCAGTAGAAGATTTCAAATAATAAAATAAAATTTAACCTTGTTTCAGATTCTGCCTCATAATTATAACAGAAAAACTAATCGAGAGTCGTGGTTGGAAGACTCCATGGTCAAAGAGCTGGATGTTGTAACATTAAGTAAACAATTCCTGTTATGTCTGTTATCTCTGTTATGTCGCTAGGTGTGAAAAAAAACAATTTTTATGGCAGAACAGGAAAATATGCTCGTGAAGCATGTTAAAGATATGGAGCATATGGCATCCAGATATAGCGCTTCGTGCACCTGAATCCACTTCTACTGTTTGAGCACGGGCCTTTAATAAACCAGTGGTAGATAAGTTTTATTTCACATTAAAATGTATCTATAACGTTGACGAAACTAGCATTTCTACGGTGCCTACCAAAAATACAAAGGTGNGATTCAAGATAGTAAACCCTGATTATGACTTTTTTTTTTTAATTTACCATAACCTATGACAATCTCAAATTGAGGGGAGTGACATGATCCTGGGATCATCTTGCCCCTACCGCACAGATCATCTTGGACACCGGGGTGTACAAGATGGTCCTTTCATTACGTTTTGAAAAATGGTGTTTATAATAATAACACATCATGAAATATATATTTTGAGTGTGACAACAATTAGATAGATAAATTTACTATGAATAAATGTATTTATATCTGCAATAAGTCAAATATCATTTATATCACAAACATTCTCCCTTAAGTGAATCATCTCGTACACCTTTCCCCTACACAGATTTTTTGATGAACTATTTTAAAGATGAATATAACCAATCAATAATAATATCGCCGCTGAATGAACTATTATCTTCATTTCATAGAAAAATCTGACAATTCTTGAAGCGCAAATTCAGTGGCCGCGCATACAGAACGCATGCGCGCACTAATTTCCACATAGGGCTCAAGCATGCTCTGGAGAAAGAAGTGACGGTCGCGAAAATCCAGTAGGGCATCGTTTTTCTCAACAGGCGCTTTGGAGTGAACGTCGCGGCGCGATACCGAATGAAAACACGTGAAGTTCGCATCGCCGTTTGGAAAGAGTGGCGAAGGATTCGTGGCCAGTGATAGATGTTGGTTGATGATAATTAATTATGACGTAATTGAAACTTACGTTAGTTTATAGGTAAGCTGAGAGTGGAGATGGTAGTTATTGAAATATGTTTAAACATTATTTTGCGAAAAAAAATTCAAATTGAGAAAGGGAAAGTCGTTAACAAATATGATTTGTAAGATAGTCAAAAATTATTAGGAGTCAATAATAATATGCTAATATAGACTATAATGTACAGTAAATAAGTAATGTATCTCCATTAACTGGGAGAAAAATATTTGTAATGGAATATACCTGTATTCATACTAATAACGTCGGTGCAAAAAATTCAAAAAAATGTTCTACACTATCTTGTGGTGATTTTAAATCCCACACAATATTTTCATTGATGAAATTAAGTATTATGACATATGACTGGGAACTTTCTTTAGATTGTTGCTATAGAATTTATTGACTTGATAACAAAATTGTGAGGTTGACCTGTCGTAATAATTCAATAGGTATCGGAAAACATATTACTATAGAATGGTACCTACTGTTGAATAGCTCTTACTCAACAATGACAAAGGAAAATGACTGTACCCAGATCGATGAAACTAGTGAATAAGTTTGCTGGGTAAAATCGGAATCTACGGCGTGAAATGGATATATTGGAAACACAAATTTCGAACCGAAATTTTGTCTCGACGCGTGTTTCGTAAATTGAGTTTGCATCACCAGGAAATTACTAAAACTTTTAGTTTCGTTTAGGTGTAGGGAAAGTATTTCCAATAGACGCATATACCAGGATTCAATATGAAAAAAAAACTGTTGATTGCGCAGGAAAATTCAACAGGTTATCGATTTAAGAGAAACTATAATGAAATATATACCGAGTAAATGAATATATTTTATGAAAAGCACACCATTCTTTTGGAAAAACAAATTTCGATTTGAAGAACGACATCGTGATTTGCCAATGGAGTTGACATATTGAGATAAATAGCTTATGGAATACGTTCTGAAAAAATTAACAAATCTCGTTCGATTTGGAAAAAACATCAAAACAATATAGAATATTGAAAACTTTTTTCTTACTTGCCACTGATCACTAGAATGAAAGAATAGTTTAGAAATATGTGACCTAACCTGATGAGAATCGATGCTAATAACATGTTTTTCGATGCCAACTTTTAGAAAGCTATCATTCAGACTGTTGAGTTATTCCCAATAATAATAGATACACATAAGACGATTCATTGCTCTTTCGGCTTTAAGTAAAATCTTGTTTCTGTTCAGTTGACTCCATTATTTTTATTCAAATTGTCATCATGAAAATAAAATTTTATGAATTTGGAGTATCTGATTATTATTTATTAGATGAAACTGCAAAAATTGAAACAGAAAGAAAAGCGAATATTTGCTCATTTGTGGAAATAGTGGTCCTTGTGAGTATATCTCAACTTATAATTATTGAAATCAATCATCAGTAAATAATTTAAGGTGTTTTCATACATCTTTCAGATACCTTATTTTGTATTAGCCGTATGATGAACACATTTGATAACATGGAAAAGTTTGTAGAATGGATACTCAAGTCATTTGAAAGATGATATTTTTAATCAAAATTAGAGTGGATCATGTATGATTTACGTTGAGGAATTGTTTAGCTCATTTTTCTGGACTTAAAATTGTAACGTGTTCAGTTGATGATGTTCATTAATGTTTATCAATAATATTTCTTCATTATTCCAATATTTTTCAATATCTCGATTGTCTGATGATACACCAAATAGAGTTTGTTAGTAACTGAATTGTACTTTTTCAGATTAGATAAGAAATATCAACGGTAGTTTCCAGCTAATACATTTGTGACTTCTACTCCCAACTTCGTTCTTCAAGTGAGCTCCAAAATCTCCGGTAAATCCTTGGACCGAAAACTACTAGCTTCAAACTCCGGTACTCGTTGTTCACTTCTAATTTCCTTAACTTGTAAAATAATTACTGTAACAAAGATATCAAGCACCTACATGTTTCACCTTCCAGTGCTAATGTTTGTCCAGAACGTTAAATGTGATTCGTTCGAGTGACAGTAAAACGTTTGTTCGTTTGTTCGGTGATCAGAGTGAACTGAAATGATTCGCAGACATTGAACGTGATCACTTGACGATTCCAACTGACCGCTCTAAAATCGGTGCTTGAAAGTGACTGATCGCCTCTTTTGTGTTCTTCTGTAACCTGAAACTGTTTCCCGGTATCTAAAGACTTCGCGATTCATAAAAGTGACATCGTACATTGGAGGAGTCCTCTCGACTACGGACAAAGCGCCCGGCATTATGTAACTTTTTCATACCATCATTAAACCAAAGACAAGATGAATAGTGTATTTGCCTTGGCGTTCGTGGCTATCATTGCTTTTTGTGGAGGGCTAACAGCCCCTGCTTGCGTGTGCGACAGGAGGGAGTGCGAAATCGTCAACGAGATTGACTGCCCCGGATTGGGGATCGTCGTTTGGGATCCGTGCAAGTAAGTGGGGTTTTAATTTTTTATGAGATTGCGGATAGAGAGGTGGTGTTTGATTTAACGTGTTTGCGAGAAGAATTGGGGTCGAAAACAGAGATTTTCTTGGTAACCATAATAAATACCAACATGAATATACATCTAACAACAAAAATCAAATAAACAAATGAACAAACAAATATTTGCTATAAGTACACAATAGATGTGTTACAGTAAAAATTTAAAGTGCTAACACTATTACAAACTGTTGATATTTAGTATTTTGATTTTCGGTATTTAATCAAAGCCTCCTTGAATTTTCTCACCGAACAAGACTGCTGATCTCTATTGGAAACTTATTGCATTACAGCAAACCACGATGAAAAGTTGAGTTCATAGATTGCGAATAAAGTATACGAGAAACATATAGATCAGTAATGCTACGTGTTGGATAATCATGAATTTCACTAATGTATGTGATGAACTGATTGAAGTAAGAAGGTGCTTCACCAAATAGAATTTTGAAGATGAAAATCATAGAAGAAAAGAAAATTCTATTTTTAACTGAGAGCCAATTTAGGACTTGATGCATAATTATGATAGAAGTGAGTCTGTTGCATTTGAAGATAATTCGCATATCTCAATTTTGCAACTTTTGCAAGATTTTAAACATATTTTTTAAACAGATTCTATGTTATTACTATCCAACAATGATAATGAGCCGACACAGTATACAAAGTGAGGTTGTATTATCGTATTATAGACCGTAACATATGTTTGGAAGCTGAGATGGCTACTGACACAGGTAAAGAAGACTAGTATTTTTTGCTGTTTTACTGTGTATGTATTGGAAGTGATCTTGGAAGTTAAATGTTATCAATCATGAAATCGAGGTACCTATTTGATTTTTTTGAACAATCTCAATGGTCTCATCATACATTTTAATTATAACTAACGCCATATCTATGCGACTGATTTTATATTGAGATGTGATAATCATTGATTTAGCTTCAGTACAGTTGATCTCGAGTTTATTCACATTGAGAAATACAGATACTTTACCCAAAATACCATTGATTTTTATAACAGCTTGAGATAATTGTCTATCACTTACAGCCAACAGGGTATCATCGGCAAACGGAATAATAAATTCTCAATCTTCAGTGAATTGTATGTCATTCAGGTAGAATATAAATAGAAGAGGCCCTAGTACACTCCCTTGTGGAACACCTGTATCAACATATTTCACACTTGAGAGTGAGCCGTTGGGACCGATCAAATACCTTTTCTTTTATACCGTAATACTGCAGCTTATCGAGTAAAGTTGGAATATCAAATGTTTTGAAACCCCTTTCGAAATTCAAGGAAATCATCTATAATTTTTTTCCATTTCGAAACAGTGAACTGTAAAGCTCTAGACTGAAATCCAGACTGAAAATCCATTAAGAGTTTATTTATCTCAGTATATTCGCGAATTTGGCAGAAAGGGTATTATTAGGTCTGAAATTAACAGCTTCATTCGTGTTATTGGTTTTTGGTATATTGATTAACAGACCTTCATAGAGTTATGAGCGGTCGTGAGTATGTATCGTAAAGAAAAGTAATATTTTATAATTGAGAGATATTTGAAATATATACGAGAGAGAAATGTCTAAGACAGAAACATTTTTTTCATGAAGGTGATATATATGACAATATTTGTAAAATTCAGGAACTAGTAGATGATTTGAACTATTTGGTGATAGCATATACATTGACACAATTTATAACATTCCTTTTTGAAAGAAATGGCAATATATTTGTGAATATTTTATGATAATCCATAGTGAAGTGATTTATATCGGACAGAAATTTGAGAGAGATGAATATTTCTAGATTTGATTTCGAAATATTTATGTATGGTATGTCTCCTCAATACAGTTTTCAGACTTATTCTGATTCCTGTAGGAATCTCTATTAATGCTCATGTAAACCTTAAATTTTTTCCTTGAAATATGGTTATTTTTTGGAAAACTTTTAGAGAATAGAATCGTGAGCTTTTGAATCTCTTCATTTTATCAATAATGGATGATCAGTATAAACTGTTATACCTTATGAACCTGCAAGAATTTTACAAATAATATTGTGGAAAAAATTACAATATTAGATATAAAGATGTGCGGCACTGGAACTTGTGATTATATTGAGTGGAATCTGAAGGTTCCCAATACTAATGGACGATTGTTTTGAAAAATCCAATGTTTGAAAAACATTTTTATTTGTTATTCTTGAAAAACAATTACTCAAATAATTGGTTGGGTTGAAACTCATCTGGAATGAATTGCAATTATCTACAAGCTGTGAAGATTTTTTGACTTCAAAGTTGTACTTCAAAAATGAGAAACATTCATAACAATTTTGTTCAACAACTTTAGCTGTCTGCCTGACAGATTCTCGATCAGGCTTATCATTTTTTCATATTTTGGGGTGGTTTATTATGAAGAAACATACATCATTGAAAAATTATATCGAAAAGCACCAATATAGTTTCATATTTGCTCATTTGTGGAAATAGTGGTCCTTGTGAGTATATCTCAACTTATAATTATTGAAATCAATCATCAGTAAATAATTTAAGGTGTTTTCAAATTTCGTGTTTGAGTTATGAACAACAGTTCGATATCTAATTGTTCTAACGTTTGGTAGACTCTTATGACTTATAAATTTGAGCCATTCAACTTGTTACTGTTGCGAACCTTTTGTTTTCCAAATATTAACACTTTTTGAAAATGAATGATACAAACCGTTAAAGAATCGAAAAGTTTGACTTTCAGTTTGGAAAATGTCAAAATTATCAAACATAGATTTACCGATTTATCGAATTTAGGAATAACGGCGTGGTCTTAACGAAATTTCCAAAATACATTTATTTTGATTTGCTAGCGTTCGATAAACATTTCTTTCCGATAGCGCCAATAGAAGCCAATTAATCTGCAATTATTCAGTTCCTTTTCGAAGAAACGATAAATTTGAATATAATCGGTATATATCGGTCATATGTATAATTAGTATAAATCAGAAGTCCTTGACTGCCTCAAAATATACCTAAGGGTTATTCCGTGTCAAATAAACACACCAATTGAACTTTTCTATTTCAGATTTTGATGAAACAAATATGTACATTACAATTGTAAGTTTTCTAATTGAGCTACCTTGGGAAAGGTAGTACTATTAATGCCCTTTCATAAACTATGCAACACAGAGGGTTTTTTTAAAAAAATACAACTTTGAAAAAAAATTGATTTTGAGCTTCTGAAAAAAATCCCGAAGACCTGTACCTGATGGGTTGATTAATATTATTCAAAACTAATTGTTACTTGGACGTTTTTCCGAACATATTTATTCAAAGCCTGAAAAGAAATGGATGAAAAAAGTAAATCGAATTGAATCCAACTGAACAAGCATTCCAGCTTCATATTTATTCGTAATTTCTATAAACAATTTGTTCATAAGAACGTATTCACGAAATTATATGAACTGAAAGTTTTTGAAATCTGTGCCACCACCTTGAAAACTTCAAGATTGGAGTTGAATGGCATTTTTTTTCCCAGAGTCCACGACAATGGACCTTGCGATGGGCTTCGCTGGCTACAAAAGCCAGTTTACAGCGGAGTGTCCCTATGAAGATCATATTCTCTCAGATGCTGAATTTCATGGAATATTTATGGCATAAATTTCACATGTACCTCACATGAGAGCTATAAATATTTTTATCAAAACGCTTCAATCAGTAAAAATTGAAGGCATCTGTTCCTGGAAGTGCAATAAAACTCACAGTCAAATATTATTCTGTATTATTAATATCATTATTCGCAGACAAACATACTTTGCAAACTGTAGTGATTATATGACTGAGGCATATGATGGAGAATGGTGGTTATATGAAGTTTAGCAGCAGAGAATTTGATCTTCATGGAGATGCTGTAAACTTGCTTTTCAGGCCAAACTTTTCACAGTAGTCCGGCAAATTCGCCTGCTGTGGACTTTGGCAAAAAAGTACCATTCGGCTTCGATATCGAAATCTTCCAGGTGGTGGTACAGATTAAAAAGATTTTTTATTTTTGTATTGTTTTGTATTTTCTTATAATTTTATATTCATTTACAGAAAATACAGATAAATGTGAAGATAGAATATCTTGTACTTCTTCAGTTGAATTTCATTTGAGTTTTATAGTTTTTTCGTTGCTTTTCAGATTTTGAAAACTCAAAAAATTCAATTAGTTCCAGACAGTTCCACTTGTTCATTACGAAACTTCAAACACTGCTTATCCATTAAGTTGACTACTTCTGTTAATGATTTTGAATTATTTTGAAAACATGACTTTTGAAATTGTGAAAAAGTTTTTTATAAACATCTTGTGTTGCATATTAAATGAAAGGCCATTCAAAATAGAAGACGAGCAATTGCATTTTGAGTAAATTCCGGCACAGCAAAATTGTTTTTTTAGAAAATTGAAATAGCTGTAACTGAAAAACGGCGTGACATGAAATATTGAAACCTAATATATTTCTCAGTTTCTATAAATTGTGTAAGTTTTATCAAAATATGTAATGGCGAAGGCAAATAAGTGAAGTTTATTGATTTGACACATTTTTTCTATGTTGACTCTATGAAAATGATTCTCAGCCAAGCAAACTATTGAATTTTGATTTCCAATGACCTGCAGGACATTGAAAGTTTGACTTGAGTTCAGTAAAATAAAATACTTCGCAGTGTTTTCATTGAATTGTTGATATATGTTATTTTTCTAAATTCTAACTGGATGCTTGATAAAATATCATATTCTTGTGAATTCTTTCTGATTTGCTCCTCAGTTGTGCGTTTGAATTTCTCTGAGTAG